ATTCGTCGCTAGAAATTTCCTAACTAATTAGATTTTCTTATAATCAATATTAATGATAGCTAAATAAAATTAGCATTGGAATTTTTGTTGTGTCCGTATGACTAGTCAGCCTACAATTAAGTGCACGTTGAAATTATTCTCATGTCTATTTATAATTTGGATGGAATAAAATGATCTTATTAAAATCTCATATATTTTAGTAGTAAAATTTTTGTGTTAATTTTTATTGATCTTCTATGAAAAGTAATAAAGCTAAAATAATATTTTGTAATAAGTTAATATTGGTTAAGATTATAATAGTTTCAATCCTAATTAATTTGAAACAAGTTAGTAAAAGGGATTGTGCATATCTCAAATACAGTGATACATATATAAAAAAATTAAGGGATATTTGGGAAAATAATTTATTAGAGAGTACTAATATAAAAAGATTGAAACTTCAACAGAGGTACAATTTAAATTTAAAAATAAAATAAATCACGTGGGGAATAATTAATATTGGTAGTTTTAAAATAGTTTCAACTTTCAATCCTAATTAGTTTGAGGCAAGTTATTAAAAGAGATTGTCCATATCTCAAATACAGTGATACAAATAAAAAAAATTAAGGAATATTTGGGAAAGAATAGTATCGTATAATTAGTACTGTTTTATTTGTTACTTTAATTCCTAGTTTTAGTATAACTTAAACACCAAGACTAGTTATCCTTGCCTGCTTGTGAAATAATAGTATCGTATAATTAGTCATCCTTGGATAAAATAATGAAAACAACAAAAAAAAAATCTGAGATCTATCAAACCTCTTTTCTATTTTTCTCAATTTCAAAATAAGTGGGTTTTTTTGTTTGGACACACCCCTTAAGAAATTACTTATTCCTAGAAAATAATGAGTATTTTTCATAACTCATCCTAATCAAAGAAAAGCTAATTAATGGTTCTTAGTTAAGTAAAGTAAATAAGTATAATTTTGAAAGAATTTGAAACCCCAAAACATCACTTAATTGGAAACAAAATAAAGAGGTTAAAACACCACATTTTTATAGAACGGATAAAGTACTAAATAAGGTGGAAGATATAGTAAAATCTCTCTAAATTAATATAGGTGGGAATATTAAAATATTATTATTTTGTAGAGATATTATTTAATTGAAAGAATTCACTTGTGAAAACATCATTCATGAAATTGAGGTCATGATTAATAATTTTGGTTACCGCAATAAAATGGACATTAATAACTTATTGAATGAGTGAAAATAATACATGTTCAGTGGTCCAGAGCTTAGAACAGATTGTGGATATCATTAGAAAAATAATGTTAATGATAAAGTTGAAGATGATACAATACCTTTGGAACCAGTTATGTGTAAAGGGATCCGGCTCCTCCAAGTTCCAGCTTAGATTGAAGACACATGTCATAGTTTAAAATTAATGATTGAGATCTAATTAATTAAAACAAAGTCCTAACCATAATTATTTATTTACTTTCATATATTTGCTTCTTAAATATTTTTTGCAATCCAACAATATTTTCAACTTTGTTTTAGTTTCATTTTTTTTTGGAGAAAATGGAGCAGTGATCAATTAAAAAGAATATTCCATATCAATCAATCTATATGTGGAACAAGTTCTGCGTCATTCCTCTCCCACCATCATTTATAATATATTCTCGATCTATGAATTTTCTCTTGGCAAGAAATGGCGTGTCGATCTCATCCTTTAACTATTTCTAACAGCCGCTAATCTCCCCATCTTTAATTACTTAAATCTGCATTATCTCTAAATAGCTGCCTAGTTAGTTATATAGTATACTGTATCCTTTATACTTATTGAGGATGTGTCTTCCATGGCTGACGATGCATGTCAAGTATCACTATATATATCAATTATTTGGATCATTAATTCACTTCTTTTTAGAAAGTTTTTCAAAGCAATGAGCCTATTATTCAAATATAGCTTTATACGTTGTATTTGTCGAGATACGAATAAATAAATAATAAATGTATAATAAGTTGACAATCAACCACATAATGATGGTATGCACCATTAAAAAAAATCATAAATAGAATGACTTTTACTCATCTTCTGAGTATAATAAATTCAATGCTTTGAGAGATACTTATGAAAGAACTAAAGTTAATAATAAGGACAAATTGTCTATTGAATTTCTAAACTAATCAAGTAAAAATAGATATTTAATTTTAGTAAAACTGGACGGAAGTATAATTTTTCATTTACAATGGTTCTTACATTGATATATATATATATATATATATATATATATTTTTAGTCTCCACATGTGTATTTTGATTCATTTACGACTTATGAAAACGCGATGATCGAGAGAAAATTAGTCAAAAGAAAAAATGTTAATGCACATCTATATTTAGGATTCGGCAATGAATATAGTCCATCACTCCATCTTTCACGATGTCTAACCAAAATAGAAAAAACGTGTGTAAAAATGTTGAGGTTAATAATTGAAAAAGGATTATAGAAAATTATTATTTTTTCGTGTCTAAAACAATTGACGTTTGGATTTCTAAAAATAGGTAAAATAATTCATATACTAAAAAATTAAAAAGGAATTTAATTCTTTTTATCATATTTGCCCTCGACACATCATCATATTACAATGATAAGTACATCAACCCAAAGATAAAACAAAATGATAACTAATACTAGTATTTAAATAAAAATATTTTAAATTTTTTAAATATAAGTAAATTTCTTAATTCACGTGTCTCAGTCTAAAAAAAGAAAAAGTTAGGAGAAAAACAAGGCTAGGTTGTATCGTCATTTGTGGATAATTAAGCATTTAAAGTACATTGGTTTACCTTATGAATCGGCTCGACTTGGTGGAGGTTACACTTAGTTTTTTCATTTTACAATAACTTACATGGCAACTTTTTATTTTCATCCTATCCTTCCCGACTTTTCGAAAACAAAAAACCCCCACTTAACGGACCCCATGCGACCTGCCACCTCGGAATATATGCGGCAAAACATTGATGCGTTTATCATGACCTTAACTGTTTTATTTTCTTCGTCTTAATTTATGTGATAATTAATTTTTTAAAAATGAAATTCATAAACTATTTTATACAAGCAATTTATTTGTATACTATTTTGGGTAATATTGATGACACATCATTGCCAAACTATTATGTGAATGTTTAGACTTTAGATTGACTGTTTTGCAATTTTGCCAAAACCAATAATACCTGTTAACAATAAACTGTCTTCTCCTAAAATCGTCATTTCAAGTCACCGCCCACTTGGCAATTAGCATTACTCATTACTTTAACAATTGTATGAGCGTCGCTAGCCAGCCACATGTATGGTGAATACATCACCAATTTGATATTTGCCCTCGTGAAATTGTTGTTTGATTATAATTAATTAGGGGTAGTTTCAATTTTAAATGTGAATGGAAATCTTATCAAAAATTATTTTTATATTACGTACTAAAATATGTATATATCTTAGTCTTCTAAAACTCTATATATGAAATTACTTGTAAATATGTTCGAATTGAATGATTAAATTGCATATAATCCGTTGCTTAGAAAATATAGATAAAGAAGATAAAAAATAGATATTCGATCCAACTCGAACATAAAAACCTGACCTATGAAGGAAAGACTGTGAAAGAAATAAGTGAGCATAGTCCTTTATATATAATTCAAATTAAATAGGATAAAAATAACCTTGCTGAATTGCTAGTAATATGGTACTTTTAACGTTTACTTTTACTTGTCACTTATTTTTAAATTATTTCTTTTCTAAATCATTTTTTAAGACTTAATAGAGTACTAATTATCTTTTTATATGGATAGTTTGATAATATATATATTTAAGATTATTTTTTAATAGATATGCCAAGTGAAACAATGACAATTAAAAAGTGAACAGAAGGAGTAGTAATTTTTAGATTTTCTAGTACAGTAAAACCTCACTAAATTTATGGGTGGACCATGAAATATTATTATTTTGTAGGGGCATTATTTAATCGAAAGACTGTTTCGATACCACAAATTCATTCGGGATGAAATCTAAATGAATTTGGATAAACTCACTTATGATTAATAATCTCGATTACCGCAATAAAATTGATGTTAATAATCTTTTGAATGGGTGAAAATGATATATGTTCAAAGGTTCAGAGTTTAAAACAAATTGTGGATATCATTGGAAAAAATAATGTTGATGATAAAGTTAAAGATGATATAAAATCGAAACAATTACACATAAAGAAACACTTATCGCATATAGAACTCTTCACAATTTTATGGTGTAGTTCGAAAAGATAACACCAAAACTTTTGGATGCAATAAAAAAAAAAGTTAGAGATGAGCTTCAACTAGATTTTAATTTTAACAAAAAGCAGAACATAATAGAATCATATTTTACTAAATTGTCTTAGATATATTTATACGTTTAAAGAATTATTAATTTATAATTTTAATTGAACCATATATTTATATAAGTGCCTTCTGAAAATATATTATCTTATTGAAAAAGTGTTTTTATCCATTGATCTAAGTCGGGATCAGAGAAAACTATTATCTTAAAAAGATTATTAATTAATCGAGTATTAATTTAGTTAGATTTTATTGTAATAATAAAATTCTTGTAAACGATAAAACAAAACGACACAGTTGCTACGTCATACCTTGTTTTTTATCCAAACTCCTTTTTTTCAAATTTGTTTTATCCTTAAACACCGTTTGAACTATTTATGGTAATCAAAGTTAAACCACTCACGATATGATACTTTCATCGCTACTTTACGTGGCTTATATATTGGGAAATATTCATTTTCTCGGCTTTGTGTTATCTTTCTCGCGATATATCGCAACGAGTAATTAAACTCGTGAGGAAGGATAAAATAACCCTAACGCCGTTTGTTAACCCCAAATAAACAAAAAAAACTACTAGCGTTTCTTCAACGGCAAAAGGACCTATAAATTGATGGCGATTACAATACAATAACCTGCAATTTTAATCAATTCTCTTTATCTCAGAAAGCTTCTTCGTCTATCAATGGCGTTCAAAAAAATTGTAGCTCAACGCCTTTTCGATTCATATAAAATTTCTCGTCCTTCCCTAACAACATGCCGTATTTGTTCCTCAACCATGACCAAATCGATGGCTTCTCCTAATCCTGAAAGGATAGCTCCAGATCCCGGCGAGGGTGCTTTTTTCCGTCGGTCTCTCCACCGAAGTTCTTTGTTCCAGTCACTAGCAACCTCGTCGGAGCTCCGGTCGTTTCCCATCGGTGAAAAGCTCCGTCAGGAATTGAGAGGGATGGACATTGGTAGAGATAGGATCAGACTCGATGGACTCATCTCACCGCCGCAGCAGAAATCGTTGTCGGAGATGGAGTCAGAATTAGCCGAGGAGGAGAAATTTACGGTGGCCGATGCAAAGAAGGTTATGAGATTGGCACAGCTTGAGGTGGTGAAATCGAGGCTAAGGCAGATGGAGAATGACTGGATTTCGTATCCGGAATTTTTTCAGATCTGCAATGGCGCTTCTTCAAACCCCGATCAAGCCCTAGAATTCGCGAAGATGCTCGATCAATCGGGAATTGTAATTGTTTTGGGAAACGTCGTATTCCTTAAGCCTGATAAGGTTGGTTTTCTATTATTTTTTTCCCTTTCATGCTTTTTCCCCTTATAAAATTATCAATGTGGATTTCCATAACTTGCCATGATACAGATTTTACAAGATGTGTATGTGCATTACTGTACTGCTGAGAAGTATTGATAAGTTCTAACAAATATTACTACATTAGTTTTTTTTTTACCTTGTGCATTACAAGTCTACCGAAAACTGATAGAATTTCATCTATTCTCTATGTTTTTCAACAGGAAAGCCAACAAAGTTATTCCAGATCTCTAAAACGAGATGGTGACTTTTATAAGGGACTGCACCAGTTGGACCATTTCCAAACACCCAAATTTACACCATTGAACACCCTTTCCTCTTATAAACTTAATTCCAAACATTTGGGAAGAAGATAATGTTTGGCTTAAAAAGTGTTTTTTTGCAATATTTTTAAATTTGCAAAAACTGAAATTGTTATTTACTGCAAAAAAAATTGAACCAAACGTAAGCTAATAATTTGGTGGGGATGGGATAAGAGAAAGGAAAAAGAACATTCAGGTTCTGTAGAGTCCAAAAATTAGTAAATCCTACCCCAGAAAGAAACGAAATACAGTTATTCCCTTAGCTCCTCTAGTTGTCTTTTCTAATACTTGACGCAAGTGACAATTTGCCTTCCTTGTCATAGGAATAGACACTGTTTTAGTTAAACAGATTCAGAATTTTAAGTTTGTGTCTAAGTACGTGGGTGATTGTATTTTAACATTCTCGAAAAAGAAGTATTTATAGGAGTAATAATATAGATTAGTGAATCCAATTTAGATGAATGCTTGCAAATGGGAAGATGTTTCTCATTATGTGATAAGGCGTGTGAAGTGGAGTTCTATTGTTTTACACAAGCATTTTGGTCCCTTGTTTTGTTGCTACAGGTGGTGAAAGCCATGGAAGGCTTAATGCCAATGCCTTTGGCTCAGCCAAATGACCCACAAATGATGAAGGAGTTTCAACAAATGGATGAGAAGAAATCAGCTATTGACAAGAAGGCAGAATCGTTGGTGCAAAGGGAGTTGTGGTGTGGGCTAGGATTCTTTGTGATTCAGACTGCAGCTTTCATGAGGCTCACTTTCTGGGAGCTAACATGGGATGTAATGGAGCCAATTTGCTTCTATGTTACATCCTTTTACTGCATGGCTGGTTATGCTTTCTTCCTTAGGACCTCCAAAGAGCCTACTTATGAAGGCTTCTTCCACAGCCGCTTTAGCGCAAAACAAAAGAAGCTCATGAAGCTTCACAATTTTGATCTTCAGAGGTACAATGAACTCCGCAAAGCTTGTGATCCTCACTCGTCCATACCTACTGGAAAGATTTTAACACTTCATTCAACACCCATGATGTCCACAACATAGAATGTGGTGATTTTACATGAACATGTTGTGCTTAAGATGGATATTTTTTAGGAATACTGCAAGAAAGAGGAACCTAAAATTGGAAAGGACAGATGATATACTTTGCTAATTTTTTTTTCTTTTACTTGTTTTACTTTTAAGTTAGTGTCGAATGGATACTTCGAGCTGATCCCTGTGGGACTGAGGCGTCGTTGTTGTTGTTTACTATTACTTTGGACCTAGACTAACTTTGAGTTTATCTATGTCACGGCTAATGTATAATATTAAGCGAAGAGGGCACAGAAAATTTATAGAAAATTCAAACTTGGTTTGCTCACATATCATGATTTGCACATTAGGGACCCGAGAATCATGGTGCATTCAACTAACAATCTGATTAAAATACTAGATTAGATAAAGTTAATGTCCACTGATTCATGTTCTGTGTATTTTCGAAGCAAAGATTAAATAATATTATTTCACAAACAGAGTCATTGTTTACCCATTCATCTCCCCGGATTTTGTTGGGGAATCTAATCTGATGATATAAGAATAGGACAAGTATCAAATTGCACCACAATACTTACTAGATGGCTAGATGCACCACATTTTCAGATTCCTAATATACTAATGAATGTAATTCACCTTAGTCAAAGAGCACCTAATGTTTGGTTGAAAAAAATGAGACACCAAGTAATGTTTGAATTACATTTACAAAAGTGGCTGGCTACTGCAACTTGACTCTACTTCCTAGTAAGCTGGAGGCTAGGCCCTACTCCAATGGTGGTGGTGGGGTTGGCCTATCTGCCTAAAATGAGAATTTTTACAGGGTGATAAGGAAGAGGAACAGGGGAGGGGTGTTTTCTAGGCAGGCTGATTCACATTAAATCAAGATTTTTATTAGGCCGAAAAGACCTCTTACTTCTAGTTAAATTCTCAAAGGTTGGAGTGAAATGAATAAGATAGGGGGTGTGGGTGGGGTGGAGCCTTGAGCCCTATAGTTGAAAAAAAAAATCAAGGGAAAGTTTTCCTTTTAATGAGTTTTATGCTGCTTAAAGTTAAATTAATCGGAATTTCAACACAAATATGAATACTGAGCGAAAAATCAATATATAGACTGCGTAATTGGAGTAAATATATTGCAGTAATAGAAGAAGAACTAGAAAAGAAAAAAAAACTAACAGCCAGAAACCTGTAACAGCCTTTCCCATGCCAAAACTAACTAAACAAGTATTTGTTACTTGTCCTATCCCTCCATTAAAATATCGATTGATGCTATATAACTCTTTGAATTCACTTTTACCGAATGCAATATCACTACTACCTTACAAACTTATGGAAAGGGACGGTACAAATTTACAATCAACATGCATAACCAAACAATACTTCTTTTCATATGCCTGCATAATTGGCAAAATCAAATCCAATCCGATCCAACCCATTTAGGTTTGAATTGGTTATTGATCCGCCCATTTGTTTGCTCAACCCATCTCAATCCAATTCATTTCAACGCATTAAAAATCGGGTTGATACGTAACCCAAATTGATTTTTGAGAAATCTTGTTAAAATATTTTTAAAAAACTTGTTTTTGATTTTATATGTTATATATGATTATAATAAAGAAAAAAAATAATTTTATTAGGTATTAAAAGCTTATAAAATAACAAATAAAGCTATTAAAACTAAGTAAAAATTGGGTGGGTTGGTTATGACCCGTTACCTAACCCGTTTTAACCCAAACAAATTTGAGTTGGGTTAGGTCTTGACCCGTTTATTGTCTTAATCCATTTTGACCTACCCAAATTTAATTCAACCCGTCCAATTGTCACCCCTAGCATGATTCACCTCCTAAGGAAAGCTTTCTTTTACAATCAACTTCGTGTTATCTTCTCTTTTTTTTTAAATCACTTTGCCCTTCACGGGATATCAGCCACCTTCCACCAACAATACATACAAGAAAATTTTGTCCATCAAAGCTAGTGTTATCTTTTATATTATGTGACACTTTTCATATGCATCCACAGATTTAATATATATATATATATATATATATATATATACTTAATTCATTTGTTTCATCGAAAACTACGAAAATAAATCATTCATACATCATACAAGATTAGTTATATCGAAGAGACTACTCTTGCGAAACACAAAGCTGAAAATTAAAATGTCTTTATATATTTGTATAACATGTTGTGCATTAATTGAACTCTTTAACAACAAAATATTCATAAATCATAATACGTGTGATAGCTTTACAAAGGTTCAGGTCAATCATGCATGCCATGTGATATTAGCATTATATGTCTGAAATTATCTAAGATACTTTGATTAAAACATATAATAACCTCTCTCTTTAATTTCACAAATTAAGATTGAGCATGTTTCTATCATTGTACAGAAATTAGAGACATGACAAGTGAATTACGAAGAATCTAAATAATTTTAATTATTAATACACCGACAAATTATCATACATTAGTATGTGTCTGATAAGAATGCCACTCAGCATGTTTGTCAATTAGTACGATCCTGATTATGACTTACATTAAATAAAAACAAATTATTTATGCAATTTAATTAATGAAATCATTAAACTTAATTAATTGTTAGAGCTAGCTCAATGGAAATTTTTAAGTGAGGAATATTGCACGAAGGAATCAAGATCAATCTTGTCTTGGATGTGGTACAAATTGATACATGCAATAAAAGACACTATATGCATGAAATATTAATTTCCTTTTTGTTGATTTACTTAAAATTGAAGAATCTAGTAGGTTTTTCTCCTGCTGAATTTACTGAAGGCGAGCAAAGATCTAATACTTTCTTGAAAATTTTCACAAGTAGCTACTATAATAAACTTAATTATGTTTCAAAGTTATAATTTGCATATTTACGGCATGTAGCTACATTTTAAGTTGCATCGTTTGTATAATTTACGGATTTGTATAACTCGCGTGTTTTCATAATTCGCGGGTACTTTTGTATAATTGAGCTTATTTTATATAAATTCGAAATAACCAATATATACAAACACAAACATCAGACCTTTAAACAGTTATACAAATTATATTATACAAAAAACATTATACAAATTATATATACAAATTCCGAATTATATAAACGTGTGAATTATACAAACTTGAAACCCCAGCTCACACAATTATCATTGAATGTTGGTCGCGAGTGGTAATTAATCAAAATTATAGCTATAATAACTAATTAACTAGTAGTATATGTTTGCTTAACCACTTAATTTTCCTACTTTATTTGTTCTTCCACTATGCCCAACACCAATGTTCAATTATCCTCTTTTCAATTGCTTGCTTATTTTTTCGTTCTCTTAGCTCTTAAGCCATAACAAACAAGTGAATTTTACTATTTTTAAATTTGAATTGACAAAATTTGGCGGTAGAATTATGGGGAAATTATGTAAGTACCCCATAAAAGTAAAATAACTATAAATATATACCTCTTTACATTTATACCCATTAAATAATTAAACTATATGTTTCTAACTATTTTCGCTTAATTGATACTATCTTGGTATTATTAAAAAAATTTGTTCTGAAAGTATATATATACTCTTAAAAGTATCATTGACTAATTGAGTAATTTCTGAACAAAAAATCTTAAAGATACCACAACAATATACATATACTCTTATAATATCATTGACTAATGAATAATTTCTGAACAAGAAACCTTATTGATATAATACAGTATATATATATATATATAGATTTAATATCAGTTAAGCGAAATTGTCAGCCTTAATGATATCAATATAGTATATGATACTTATTTAGAATCAATTAAGCGAAAATTAATGAACGTTATGGACTGTAATTTTTTTTTTAGAAATGAGTATTTCTTGAATTACTTTGGATTAAGATATAAACATGTAATTACTTTGAATTTTATGGTCAATTTATATAGTTTTTCTTAGAAGTATGACCCATTTAAGATTGAAATGGTCCTGGTAATGTGAAGACCAGATATAGCAGAGGCCCAGATAGAATGAACTTGAGTACAAAGCCCACTGGACTCGATGAGACAAATTCTTGATCCATATCTAACAACAAATTTGACGTCATAGCATTACACCTAAATATATATCATTTCCAAATATATTTTCTTTTTCAATGAAAGGATAGAGCTGGGTAATGAATAGGGAAAGAGAGGAATGTCTTATATAAAAGAGGAGAGTGATTATACATATTTCTCTTTGGAAAATATTTTTTATCATAAAATAAGTTTATTAAAAATGAGAAAAATGACTTGTCAAAGTATGAAAAACAAGATACTCAAGTGACATTTTACATTGATATGTATTCTCCATAGCTCTAATGTTCACCTTATATTCACTCCACACCCTAGTTAGACCCCATCCCGATCACCCTGCACCCTTCCCCCATCATTTGTCAAGATTATATATAAAATATTTTTAGCATAACAAATTTGTTAAATTAGGTCTTAGACCTAACTCACACCCTAAAAGCTAGTTCAAAAGGAGGAGGATTGCCCAAGCCTTATAAGGAGTTCACCCATCTCATTAATCATCAATGTGAGACTTTTTTTTGTCATTCTTTGACACCTAACATCATGCCCAGTGCTTAGCATCTGGTGCGTGGACAAATTTGATTTTGAGGAGCCCCAACATTGGGTGAGATGGGTCCTGCTCTGATACTATGTATATATATGACATTTGGGTCTAACTCAACCCCAAAAGCTAGCTCATAAGGGGAGGTTTGTTCAAGTCCATATAAGAAGACCAAATTTCAACCCTCTATCGATGTGAGAGTTCTTAACAAAATTTTACTTACTCCACAAACACAAAAAAAAAAAGAGTAAAAACTCATTCATTTAATTTCCTTACAAACTTTTTTTTCTTGTGAACACATCCAAAATATCTTAGTGGATCGATCTGATAATGACCTAAAGTTGCAAGTAGCCATGTGTCTCTTTACCATGATATTATATAGTATCTAAATCTCCAAAATATTCCTAGTAAGTAGAAACCAAATAATTATAGATTTGACTGCTCTTTTTCTCAACAGTGAATGGTAGCACGCTAAAAACTTACCTCCTCCTAGCTAGCACGTTAAAGTACAACTCCAATAATTATGCTGCCAGTGCCATATCACACTTTTTCAACTCCACCGAATTTTTTCACTCTACTTATTACCATTTACAAGTATAATATCCTTTAATTTTTAACTACATTGAAACTATATTCTTATAATTCGATGTGCACACCTTATTATACGAATAAATATTTGTCTTGCATGTATATATCACAATATTCTTAGTTCGATGTAAACAGTTTATAT